ATGCTAACTAATTTGGATGTAAATTTTAAAAAATGAAAAAAAAAGAAAAAAAGTCTTTAGAAAAAGAATTAGTTAAGTAAACTCTGGTGAAACCACCAAATTGAATACAGTGCAGCTAATTGTAGAATGAAAAAAGAGGAACCTGCTTGTGTCCTGCTATGGAAAAAATAAGATGCAGAGCAGTGTATAAAAATCTTGTGTGGTAGAAAGAGAAAAAGTAATATATATTCATGTTTGCCAATATTTGCAAATGAAACACTAGGAGATTAAAAACTGTTACCCAGGGCAGTGCCTGGGTGATTTAGTCAGTTAAGTATCAGCTCAGAGCCTAGAACCTACTTCAGATTCTTTGTCACCCTCTATCTCTGTGCCTCCCCCATTCATACTCTGTCTCTGTTTCTCTCAAAAGTAAACAAAAAAAATTTTAGTAAAAATAATTAGTGAAAATTTAAGTATGCATTAAATTATGAATGAAAAATTAGTGTGAATGGTAATATTTAACACTTTCCCAATCAGCAGTAAATTTCATAGCAAAGAAGGCCTTGGTATACTGTATGCTTTTTTTTGTTTGTTTTAATTGTGATAAAATACACGCAACATAAAATTTACTATTTTAACCATTTTTAGGTGTACAGTTCAGTACCATTATGTACATTCCCTTTGTTGTGCAGCCATCACCACTATCCATCTCCAGAATTTTTGTCAACTGAAACTGAGAATGCTTATTAATCACTCATTCTGTTTACCCCTCTTTTCAGCCTCTGGTAACCACTATTCTGTTTTTTTCTGTCTCTCCGACTTTGACTTTTCTAGATGTGTCATGTAAGTAGAGTTGTATAGTATTTATTCTTTGTATTGAATGCTTTTAAAGCAGGCTTTATTGTAGTTGGGAGTCCATTGAACTTGAGGCTTTCTTGTCCCATCTAGGGAAAACCTTCTGAAAAATGATGTATCCTTTCAGTAGGTGGCAGTCTTTCTTCTTTTAGAAACTAATGGTTCCTTTTTTGATATCATTTAATACTACTTCTCTTTGTGAAAATATTTACCCTTACATCCCCAAGACCAAGTGTTGCGTGTTTCACCGACCAAGCCAACCAGGTGCCCCGATGTAATTTTAAATCAACCAATATAATTACTGATTCAGTATTAATTTCACTTTATTTTTTGAGAAAGAGGGCGTACAAGTTGGAGGTGGACATAGGATCCGGAGCCTATGACAGCAGCAAGCTTAATGTGAGGCTTGAACTCACAAACCATGAGATCATGACCTGAGCCAAAGTCAGACGTTTAACCGACTGAACCACCCAGGTGCCCCCCAATTTTAGTTTAAAAAAAGCTCTTGGAGTGCCTGGGTGGTTAAGTCGGTTAAGCTTCTGACTCTTGATTTTGGCTTAGGTTATGATCTCTCAGTTCCTGCGTTTGATCCCCACATGGAGCTCTGCCCTGAGTATGCAAAGCCTGGTTGGATTTCTCTCCTCTCTCCCTCTCTCTCTGCCCCTCCCCCACCTCTCTCACAAAGTAAATAAACTTAAAAAAATAAAAGGAGCTCTTAATTTTTGTAAGTATGCTGCATTAGGTGGCACACCTGCAGAAGGTGGGTTCCCTTGGTTGTTAAGGGGTGTGTGACAAGGGCTTACATTTTAACAGATCAAATTTTTGGGGCGCCTGGGTGGCGCAGTCGGTTAAGCGTCCGACTTCAGCCAGGTCACGATCTC